TCTTCACAAAAGCGGCCTTTTTTTGTTGAGCTATTACACTCTAGATTACGGTAAGTAAATGCTTCACACTTACGTAAATTTTTTATGATTAAGACCTCTAAAAAATGGTTAAATTTTCCTTAATATTTCATGACAGTCTGTTCATCACAGTAAATATTGAATATTAATCACACGTTTCTCACAATGAATTTTATTGATTCAAATAAGATATTTATTACAAACTAAAACGCTCTTAAGTAGTTGCTTTATTGCTTCGAACTCTAAGAAAGCGTTTTCTCGGCTAATGCTCTTTCTTTATGTCAATTTATCATCTATAAAAATTCACGATGGTCAGAGGCTTCCTTGAATGATCATATGACCACGGTTATAAGGCATGTGTTGAACGTTAACGAAAAGATGCTGACGGTCATGCAAAGCAGAATATTTCTTAAAATTTTTATAACATAAAAATAGCAGTTATTTTTATTATTGGCATTAATAATTATGGATCCACGTTGAAAACATCCTTGGACTTTGATTGTTTGTGCGCCCAGTGGCTGCGGTAAAACCGTTATCGTGGAAAGATTCATTCGTACTATACATCACAAGAGTAATACACGTTTCTCAAAAATAATATTTCATGAGGCTGAGTGGCAAGAAGGTTATAATAATTACCCACAATTTCTTCCCCTTGAATTCAAAGAAGGGTTACCAGATTGCACCAATTATACGCCTGATCGCACGCCAAAATTAATGATCGTTGACGATCTTATGCGTGAATCATCGAGCGGCACAATTATTGAGCTTTTCACGAAGGGCAGTTATCATCGTAATTCGAGCATTATATTCATAACACAAAACTTATTTCATCAGAGAAAAGGACAATGAGACGTTTCTCTAATACTAACTATATTGTAATTTTTAAAAACCCCGTGATCGCTTACAGATCCAGCATTTAGCCCGACAAGTGGTCTGCAGTGGTTTTGGTGCGACCCGAAAGGTCCACACGACAAACTTCCCAGTAGAAAAAAAGAAAAAACAATTCGAATAGAACCCGTTTTCATTCTTTATAACAAATGGGATTGTTATAAACGAAATGAGTGTGTTTTTATTCATTTGATATGGTTAGTTACTTCATTTCAGTAAAAGAAAAAATAGTGCGTTGGAAGAATTCAAATATACCTCATAGATCCTCTTTTTCATTATTTATAACAAATTTCATTGTTATAAACGAAAAAAGTATGTTTTCATTTATGGCATACGGTTGGTAACATTTTTTTTGTAAAAGAAAAAATTATGCGTTAAAGTACTCATATACATATATAGCATGGATCCCTTTTTTTATTGTTTATAGCAATTTAAAACTTATTATTTAAATATTACTATGATCAATAATCACTTGTTAGTAACAATGTTCAATTGTTATGAACACAATTCCATATTATTGACAATTATTATTGACTATTATAACGTTTTTAATGCTGTTTTCTCAATCCTGACACGAGTTTAAAATTCTTTTATTGCTGATTTTGTTTTTTAACATTTTTTTTTTCGATGGAATATTGTCATCATATTTTCATACAAGTATTCTAATCATTTAATATTCATATTTTTTAAAAGATTTTGAAATTTTGCCTAAAAAATGGTATTTTTTTTATTTATAATTTATAAATTGCAAAATTCAGGTCGTTTTCCATTTTCGCTAGTTTTTTGGTTCTGCAAAAAAATGGCTAGACCAATTTTATTGAAAACCGAATCAGTTCTAAGTTGCGTAATTACGCGTCGAATGCAATTGGTCCCACATCGATATCATTTTTTGTTCTCGAGATAATCGAGGCGAAAAAAAATTCCGAACGCATATACGTACATACGCACATGCGTACATACACACACACAAACGTCCACTGGAAAACGATCGTATTCGACTCTAGGGACCTTAAAACGTGGAGATATGTCAAAATTCGGGATTCGCAAAATCGGACCCATCACTATAACTTCCCACTGGGCAGTTAAAAATCGTCGACACATAGTGACGGAACAGGGGAACCGATATATAAAACACCTGATCATAATATTGAACGATCTGTTATTCATAGTGAGCCGAAGGAATTTCAGTCGAAAGCAAAACTTCTCTACAGGCGCTTAAAGAAAAATGCTAGGTAATATTGTAAAATATTTTTATGTCGCCATCTAATGACTATTAGACCAACGACAGTTTGTTAGTTAACGACGATTGCTTGACGATTAGATTGTTTATAGCAACGAGGGGAGAGTTTGTTTATCTCCGGTTTTTGACTGTGACTTGAGTTGACCGCACGGATTCTTTCTTTTAATTAATTGCTGTCAATCTTTAATAAACATTTTTATTTATTTATTAATCTGCCGAAGTTGTTATTTGGTCTTATTTTACAATATTATCTCGTGGGATAACTCAAGTATTGAGGAGCAAGTTATACCAGACTCGAATATTATAGATCTTTTAAATGAAGCCATGCGAGCTAGAAAAAATGAATATGCTATAGGAAGAAACTACGGGAGTACATAGGAAATGAAGAGCCATTTGATCCTGTAAAAGTAGAAACGTCTACACCGACAGGTGTATCACGAAGACGTCGGCCAATCATACCGGATATAATAGCTGAAGGCTCTCCATCAATGAAATCACAAAGCGAGTCAGAGCCCTACGACGCCGTTAATTTTTTAAACACTCGTAGCAGTAAATCTTAACCCGGCGTGAGTGAGGTGGAGTATGTCATACCCGCGAAGTTTTAAAACGCAAATTATTTAATGTTATCGTTGCTATGCGAGTATTATCATATTTTCATTAAAAATGCTTGTTACACAATAATATTTCAAAATAGCGTTAAAGTTTTATACATCATATATCAGGATATCTCATACCCACCTCATTCACGCCGGGTTAAATAGGTTCAGGAGTTTCAAAGCGGAAGTGAAAAGATAAATGGTTAAAATTTTCGTTTAAGTGATGGTAGCTCTCAATAACATATATTACAGCCCTAAACATCTGGCCGGTTTTGATGGTTCAAATCAATTGCTGAGTTATACGAAAAACATACACTGGGCTAATGTGAAAAAAAGGGCTAGAAAATCAAGATGCTTACACCGCCCATCCAGGCGTCGTTTTTATAATGTTTCACATATTGACGATGTATGGGAAACAGATTTAGTTGATCTACGTAATATTGCTACTTATAATGATAACATTAAATATTTATTGATTGTTATTGATGTTTTGAGTAAATTTGTATGGGTTGAATCATTGCTTAACAAAATAAGTTTAACTGTTGCTCAAGCAATGCAACGTATTTTTAGCCGTAGTAATAAAAGGTCATCGCATATATTACAGTCAAATCGTGGTAGTGAATTTTTGGGCTCTGATTTTCAAAAAATTTTGAATAAAAGGGAAATTATTTTTCGAACTGTAAGAAACCCGGATGTCAATGCAGCTGTTGTTAAACGATTTGATCGTACTTTGAAAGAGCGAATGTGGCGTTATTTTATATACTCACATACAGAACGATACATCGAGGTTTCACGAAAAATTGTCACCGCTTACAATGATACTAAACATTGCGCTACAAAACTCAGGCCTGTTGAAATTGATTTTAACGAAGAGTTAACAGCTTTTCTGTACATGAAGGATAGATACGAGAACAATAAGCGCTGTAAGAAATCGTCCAAAAAGCCTAAATATAGTGTTGGTGATCTTGTTCGCATCAGTAAAGCAAAAGCCGCTTTCGCGGAAGGTTATACAAGCGGTTGGAGCGAAGAAATTTTTAAAATTATTCGCATATCAACGTTCCGCCAACCGCCCGTTTACATTCTCCAAGATCTTAATTATCAAGATATCGACGGTATTTTCTATGCAGAAGAGCTGACAAAAGTTGGTCAAAAATCGAAACAGCAAAAATAAAAATGTCGTTACAAAAAGAAGAGTCTTACATAATATTGCCCAGTAATAGTAGCATGATTTATTTTCCTGATAACACCAAAACGCACTCCATTACGCAGTTATCCCAGCGTCTTGAATTAACTGGTGAGTGGGGTGTGTCTCTAGAAGAAATAAGTATTCTAATGAATTTTTTGAATTTACCTGTAAAACATGCTACAGTTTTATTCACGTTCATACATAATGTTGATCTTTTAGATTTTTCGAAAGTAAACGTTACTGATGTTTATAATTTAGAAAACGCTAAAATCATACTCCTCGCTTGCCTCCGGCGTGTTTCAAAGCCTTGATCATCTGATCCTTGAGTTGAATAAGATCATTATTATCAGTGAGCATATAAAATGGGAAGTGAACCCCGGTGGCTATATAGAAGCTACAATAGTTTGTGATATTCGTACAATAGAAATAGATATAAGAGATGAATATGGCCAGGCTATACCATTTAGACACGGTACGTTGACTGTAACGTTACATTTCAAAAAATTAAGATAAACATGTATCAAGAAATTGAGTATAATATCCACCAAAGAGGCTTCGGCCGTGGCGGATACAGCGGTATTAGTCCAATTTACATTGGAACATCCAATCAGCGTGGTCATGGCATCGACAATTTTTTAGGGGATTTATTCAGGTCTGTACTCCCTTTTTATTGAAAGTGGTGCTAAAATTAAAGGTAAAGAAGCCTTGGAATCGGGTTTGAATATTTGTCGACGATGTCCTTGATAATGGTCTATCATTTAAGGAATCTACTCGAGCACGTTTACGTGAGTCTGGTTAAAATTTAAAACAAAAGCCGCTGAAAACATTAATAGCTTGATTAGAGGGTCGAGATATATACCACTAGGTTCATCGCCAAAGCAACAGTTGCTTCTTGGATAGTCTTACAGATAGAAATAAAGGCTTGAAAAAACGGTGTCAACATTTATCATACGAAAAAACCTTTGATTTACTTGGTTATCTATATTGGAATGTATTCAATCAAGAACCTTTTTTAATAAACGGTATTGAAACGCGCCTGCGCTTAACAAAATCTCGAGATTTATTTTGTTTAATGAATGCTTCAGCTGTTGAATGCGAAGTTGAATATCCTTTGACACGTGTGGAAGTTAAGGCTGTTTCTATACATGGCGGTTTTCACGGCGAAACTATTGACAATATTATCCTCGGGCAATTACCACGCCACATAAATATGGGCTTTGTTGATAACAAAGCTTTTAACGGCGATCCAAAATTGAATCCTTTTAATTTTTATCATTATAAAATTAATTATCTGTCCTTATATGTTGATGGGCGTCGAATTCCTTCAAAACCACTCCAACCAGATTTAACTAAGGATTCTCTGTATGTTGATTGTTATCGCACGTTGTTCTCAGGAACAGGTATAAATTTTCTTAATGAAGAAAACGGCATTAATCGTGCTACTCATCCAAATGGCTACTGTTTATGTGCTTTTGTTTTGACACCGGATCTTTCTGCAAATAGCAATACACATTGGAATTTGATCAGACATAGCAGTGTACGCCTAGAAGTACGTTACGCCTACAGGCGTAAGATCAGTGCTCTGGTAGAGTGGCTCTAAATTCAAATGATGTGTTTTGATCATTTTGATCAAACATACTGTTTTATCAGTCTAATTGTTTCTTTGGGTACGAAATCACGAAAACTAGCTAATTGATAATCGACATACTATACAGTTTTTTTAGCATTACGGATAATTTCAAATTAAGATTGACATTATTTTGAAATTTGTGGGTTTTAAATTGATATTAAATTCCTAATTTTAACGTTGATCGAGTTGGAAAATTTCATTGATGAATTTATAAATTTGAATATAACAACTCCAATGTAAGAAGATTATCTTTCGGAAGTTTTACCATGCTAAACATTTTTTCGGATTACCCAATGGCGCTTTTCTGTAAGTTCGAAAATATAATGAAATAATCATTATATGATTATAATATTTTTTATTGAGATGGAGTAGTGATCTTACATTCTTGAGTAACGCATCAATAAAAGATTAATATAAAATAATAAAATTAATCCATAAATATTGGAGACTCTTCTAGTATAAATTTATTAATTAATCTAATTATACGATTGTAGAGTAACTTTCTTGCGTCTTTTCCCCATATAAAATCCAGATGATTGAACTCAGGAAAATCTATTTTGTTAATACTTTGTACGTTCGGTAATTTGGTTGATAAAATTTTGACATCCTGCAAAAGAAACGGTTTATTAAATTTTTGTATTTAATTTTACTTTAATATGACATTTATTAATAGACAGGCATTGTAAAAATATATTAGACAAACGCACTTTTAATAGGATAGTTCCTTAATTTAAATTTTGACGCTAAACGTAGAAACGTAAATATGAAATAATAAATAAATGGTTTAAAAACTCTAAATATACAAATAAACACCGAGGTACACAAATCTCTGGCATATGCTGCAAAAAATATTGTAATACAATTGAACAACATGAATATTAAAGAAAATTTCGAGAATTCAAGTCTTTCAGCAAATTTTGAAATACTTTCGGATCAAAAAATAGATACTCTACTCAAAGAAAGTTATGATGCGTTAAAAATGAAATAAAATTACAGATTGTTAAATAGTGCTATAGATATGAACGAATGCTTCATAAAACAATTATAGTTATTATATTCCAAACATCGATACAAATATAGATTTACATGGAATCCAATAACATCATCATCAAACGATGTGTGCATAATAAAATTTTAAAATGATCATATAGATTTCAATGATATGAAAAGCGATTTTGGAGTTCTAGGAATACGTAAATGCGGCAGATATGATATGTTTATGATACAAAATTGAGAGGAATTTTTATGTAGCTTTCATGAAGCTACCACATACGCTGCAAGAAAAATACTTGCACAAATAATTGATCTGAAAGCAGCTAAAATTCTGCAAATATTCTTCGAGGAGAAGGAATGAAATTTTGAAGTCAAAAGAATATGCTTAATAAGTACATCAATGAGTATACCGACGTTTTTCTGCATGAGGATGTGAGACGCCTCTATGAAACTAACGACGTAGAACCTCACTGGATTGTTGGAATAATGTAAATTTAAGATTTTAAACTGTTAAGGATGATTAAGTAGGTGGCAGTAAAAATAATCTAGAGACAGGTTTGAATAAACATGAGTCGATATTTTAAAAGATTACAGAAAAATAGAATAGATAAAGAAAATGGTACATGAGGTACACGACAGTTGCATACGACATAACGGAAACGGAAAAAGTAATTTTCGATCTTTATTTTATATTCGTTATATTGCTGATGAATCTATCAATTCAGATATATGCACAAATATAAGTTATTAATTATCAATCAATTTTTGATGGAAATTTATTTATTTCATGTTAATAATATTACATCATACAAATGCTAAACACTTATATTGGGTAGAAATAAAACCATACAGAGTGTGGTTATTCTTTATTATTCAGGTGAAAGTAGCTTATTCTATTTCTTTAGTGTTTATCGGACTTACAAAATATTGTTGTTTATTAATTTCTATAAAAATACAAGGCGTTATAAGATTCTTTATTTTACTAACAATTATATTGTTAGATGTATGACCTTTGTGATAAAAGCTGGTAGTACTGTATTTATATTTATCACCATCGGCTGTATAAGTGTCGTCACAAACGACTTCTTGAATAATGACAAAATAGTCATAAGAACGATAATTATCTTCCATACATACAGACTGGAAGACTTTCAAAAAACAATGAATTAAACAAATTTTTATATTATCACCATCATAATATTTAACAGCAGAAGTATTAGTCTGCATTATTTTTTGATATAGTTTTCCAATATATAATTGATTATTTTTTAATAATCTGTCAAATTGCCATATATGAATATCGTGTACCGTTATTCTACTTCTCTGGAAAGCTAGTAGAACAAAATCAGGGATTTCTTCCAAAAGTTTATATTTTCCTATTGCATATGTGGAGCAATCAATTTTGTCGTTGATTGAGGTTTATTTCTACTTATTTTGGCAGTATCTCAGGAATTTCCATTTTGTACATCATCTGTCATCCTTATAATTTATAATGATGTTCTTTTGTATCCTGAGAATCTATGTATTGTGTGCCATGATTTAAGTTTAATATTTCTCCATTAATATTCTCATATTCATAACACGTATGAGCCCATAAAGGACCTAATTTTTTGACAGTATTAGCTAGATGTGATAATGTGTGGATATTGATTGAGGAATATTTTCGACCACACAGCTCGTCAAACAATCTGAGAAAACGATTTAAAAAATCATTTGCAACGTCGTTCATTTCGATCGACACTTCATCTTTACTTAATGTATAGATTCTCATAACTAAGAGTAAAAGATGTTCAAAGTTATCAGCTTCCATTATATTTTCAAACACTGCTAGTGAATAATAGAATATGAATTGTTTCAATTCCGATGTTCTCCAATGCACTTAGTCGTTCACTTCTTGCGGCATTCGATAAATAAACTTTGGAGGTTTAATCAATTTTAAACGTCTGTTAATTTCATTAATATTTGTATATAGCGAAAACGGTCCATCTTTAAATGATTTATCACACAGTAATGTTAATAATTTTTTAAATACTCCACCATCGACAGCGTGCATTCTGTCAATGGCCATTCCTCTTATAAAGTCAGGCATCATCTTGGAAAAGGCTGAATGTTCTTTAATTCCCATCTGTGGATTATCTAAAGTTGATTCTTTAACGAGTTCAATACACTTTTCAGAGGTTCTTAATTCGGTATTCATATATGTGGAAATATTTGCACAGATTATCTTGGACCCAACTTCAGTCTTTCACCTTTGTAAAAGCAAGCTGGACAACCATAATCGCCACTAAAGTATGAAAAATTAAGACAAGCACATTTAGCTGGTAAATCAGCAACCCCTGTTAATAAGATTGCTTTTACTCTTATTTTTTCTTTCGAAGGTAACTCAATTTCAATTTCTTTCGAATTTTTCCAAGTATTAATCGGAAACTATACATTAGACTGTTAGAATTCGGCTTCTTTTGGCCATGCCACAACCCTAACAATAATGTATTGTGCTTTAATTTCCTTTGATGAAATGGTAATTCATCAATCGCCAAATAAATTGGCCAAGTATTTATTTGTGACGATTTAAAGACCGGTATACCGTCAGTATACCAACTAAAAGAAATTTTTATAGAAGCTGATGATGAAGATGCAGTATTCATGGATTGCTTATAAAGGTTATCATCATATATGTCTAAAATAACATTTACATTTGATCGCCTTTCAGATGTTTTTTGAAGAAGATTATAGAAGTTTTTTCTTTTAAACATCTATTGTATGTGGTCTATTATTGGCATTTCAATAAAATGCGAATTTTTTCGGAAAAAATATGTTGTACGTATGTCATTAGCATTTTCAAAATTTTTATTGCAGGTAGAACAATAAAAATGTTTTTTGATACTATTTTTTTCAATATTACAAAATTTTTTTAATTTATGGACACTATTTCTTTTTAATCCTCGTGGTAAAGCATGAAGCTTTCCGAATTTGATTAAATCAGCAACGCATGCCATCGGTAGATTATATTTTAAAAACATGCTAAAAATACCCAGAATGCTTTCACGTATTGTAATTTCTGCATCATCGTATGAAGGATCATCAGCATAATAACATGTTTCATCTTCACTATTACTTTCACTATCATCTGTTTTACTATTTTTCTCTTCGTTATCCGTATCCAAGTTCACTTCGAACGTGCCATTATTTTCGTCTGCTGCGTTAATATTGTTCGAGTAAAAATAATACAATCCTTCATCTTCTGGTAGTTTTTCACCTACCACTCTGCCGAATTCAAATATTATGGAAAATTTATTAATGCAATCTTTATACCATGATTTATAAAGAACCAAAAATACTTACACGTGATTATCATGCTGATCACCAATATCACTGAAAAGTATGTTAGAAACAATATCTATTTCGTTATTGTCAAGTACATTATTTTGTTCATAAGATCGTACTTCATCAACATTCTCATCTCTGTAATAATTACAAATCTCTTTTAATTTTGTACTCTAACATCTAAATGATCAACAATTATATATTGACCTCATTAATGCGGAATCTTCATGTCGAATATTATTAACACAATCAATAAAAGGAGTTAAACGAGCTTTGTATTGTTTATTACTAAGATCTTTCAAGGGTTTACGAGACATTATCAATGAATTTGAAATTAAATCCAATAAGTAATCATATATTATAACTTTAAGATGAAGCGATAAAATGACGTATCACTAAGTGTGCTGACGAAAAGTAGTTAATGTTGCCAACATTTTCAATATACATAATTGAGTGAAATATTCGTTGTGACGTTACAAGGTTTTTTTCCTTGTTTTCTTTTTTTTTAATCGTATATGAATTGTATAAAATTAAATATTTTAAATATAACATTCACCTTCGCTGTTATTCAAATTTTCCAACAGAGCCCTCACTGCACGCTTATTGGTCGATATGATCTATGCATTGGAAGTCGAAGTTTGTGACGCCATTGCAGCATTGTGACGCCTTCTATACTTGTGAAGGGTTAGAATAACCTAGCATTACCTTCTTCTTTGTGCGCGTCGTTTTGACATAACGATTGGGTTTGGAAAGAGTGAATTATTATAATCGTTATAAATAATAACTAATAATTATGCAAGCTAACGCTCAATACGTGCAAATTTGGTGGTTAAGGGCAAAAGCACATTTAATTTTCCCATTATCTGCAATACCAAAAAAATATAAAAAAGAACAAACAATCTGCAGAATCCACGGCGATGATGTAAAAAATTCTGTCAATAAGTGTTAAGTAACACTATCTGATATTATTATTTTTTTGATAATGTTGGATTCATAGTGAAATAATGATTCTCTTTTAATGAAGATGTTAAGACATACATCTAGCTATATGCAAGTATGAGATCAGTACTATAGTAATTTAAATTTTAAGCACATTTTTGACATGAAACTACCGTTATTCATATTTTTTGTTAAGTAAATGATCGAGAGGAATTAGAAGACAATGTTAAAGGGAAAAATTTAAGTTGAGAGCAGCAGATAGATATAAATAAAATAGCGACATCGTAGAGACATTATTGAAAAGTCAAAAAAAAAAAAAAAGTCAGGGAATACGGCCAGCAGTTCCGATGT